GCATTGGGGCACCATAAAGCCAAGGATACCTGGGTCAGGGGTGGGCATTAAAGTCTAAGTTCACCTTGTCCAGAATATAGTTTATGCAGTCAGGGGGGGCCCCAGTAGGTAGTAAAATATGTGCAACTTACATAATGCTATTGTCATACCTGTAGGCCATTTGGGGCCCCATGGAAGCCTGGCCAGAAAACTCCCAGTTAGTAAACCCTACAATCTGCCTTGTTGTAATGCTGGCAGTGAGCGTCCAACAGATTTCATGCCCTTGCAGGGCGACAGGCCACGGGGATTGCTAACTGGGAATTTTTTTTTATAGCCAGGCCTCTGGGGGACCCAAATGGCCTACAGGTGTGACAATATAATGAATGAACATTTAACAAAGCTGCACAGATTATTAATATCTACTGTGGCCCCTAGACTGGAAAAGATGAACTTAGGCTTTAAATGGACAGGGTTTCACAATACCGAGACCTGGAACAAGCCAGCAGATTGTAAGAGACAGGGTGAGGTTGGAACTTTATCCGCACACTTCAGGTCAGTGGCACAGAAAGGAAGCCTCTGGATCACCTTGATAGCCAGGAAACTAGCATTTTTCAGAGAAAGCTGGCAATTGCAGCCTCCATGTTTCCAAGTGCAAGTTTCTTTTTTTTAGTGGGAGACCAGAATGCAGCCTGTCCAATTTGTTCAGTGATGACAGCATTGCTTGTCCTCAGCACGTCTCGGTGTGGTCATAAATTCCTAAAGATGCGATAGGCCGAATAGGAAATCAGACCACAAAATGCCTCCACAGGATACGTGTGACCGGTACACTTTAAAAACCTTTTTATGAACCATTTGGCACCAGGGTTGACAGCAATTATATCAGTGCCCTTCCTTGGCCACCAAGATGGCTAGCACAATTTTAGCTATTTTAAATTCATTTCAGCGCAAGAAAGAAACCTTAATATTTCAGCAGTAACCAACACGAACATATACAGACTACACTTCCTCATATCATACAGGGCGCAGCTTCTCCGTGCCAAGGAACACTTCATCGAGGGAAGGAAACCTTCATATCTGGATAAATTCATTTTTAGGGTTGCAGTCACAGGGTCACGGGTAAGATATGAGCACGGCGAGGTCGGGGGTCAGTGCAAAGCTATTCCATGCTCAAACTTCTTTATTAGAATCAGAGTGCCAACAGAATCAGAAATCCTACTGCTTAATCTGGCGATGCCCCTAGACAGGTAATGTTCTCTCTTCATATCCAGAATGAACTAGCAACAGGAGTACTAACCTTGAAATACAGAGACAGCCAATGCTGACCCACCGCCAGACTGACCTGGCTTGCTTCAGTATCTAGCAACTGTCCTGTAGCAAGTATGCAACAAGTCATGCCAGAACTCCAGGTATACAAGCCATGGACCAGCAGAATGAATGGATTTTTTTTTTTTTTTTTTTTTTTAGAAACCTAGTAATGACAGAATCCAAATTTCCCATGATTGTTTTCCTTAAATTGACTTGATATTTATATAGAAAAAAAAAAAAGTTTAAGAATTTGCATGCAAAATGCTTACCCTACTCTGATGGGAACTAGATCGTTCACTGTCATGAAGAGCTATGGTCACCTGAATAATTTTCATATCCACTTTCAGAAGAGTCAGATGCAGGGGCAGGCTGACCATTTGGAAACTGGGGCACTGCCCGAGGGCCCAGGGTCAGTAGGGGGCCCCATGAGATGCCCCTGGTACCTCTCATAGGCTTTTTTGGGTGTGGTTTGAGTGTGGGCGAGGACACAGGGGCCCCATGATCCCCTATTGTCCCCCCGGTCAGATGCCTGTTTCCCCTTTGCACTTCCATCCACAGACCCATACATCTCTACAGAACACAGTGTTGAGGTAGGGGTGGTGGAAGGAACCACTGAGTGCAGAAGGGGGTCCTGTCTATGACACTCCCGGATGTGTTTGGGTATTAACATTCTTCAGGAATCCATAATCCCACAATCAACCAATCAGCACTGGCTGGGGGGGGGTTATTAGGTATTTGTGATCTTCCTTTAAAAAAGGTAACTTTTTATTAAAAGGTAAAAAAAAATACAAAAATAGCATCACAGCTGTTTTGGAGGTCAGGGGTTAGAAGACTTCGACTACAAGAACCAGCACAAGAGACACTTAAATGTAAGAACTGTCCCTTGTGCTGTTTTTTTTTTGTTTTTTTTTTTTTTACAGTTCTTTAGTCAACTTATATCTGCTGGTCTTGTCTTGAACAAACCCTCCTGCAATTTTTATCCATGCACCTTCCTTTTCCTTTAATACTTCCTTCTGCAGTTTTCTGTCCTATATCTCTAGACTCCAGCAAAAGGATGATTTCCATTGTCCTGAGACATGACAAAGGAGCAGAGTTCAGTCCTATCCCAGGGCAGCAGAAATAAAGAGCTCTGCAGCTGGAAGGTAACCCGTAAAGAAGCTGCAAAATAAAGACGCTGCAGGTAGCGCTTATCTGAATAAATGAATAGATCAGGAAAACTACATACTACACACTTCCTGTATAAATGAAACGACCCTTTAGCCCGGGTTCACACTGATGCGGTGCGGAATTCGCAGCGTTTTCTGTGCGAATTCCGCACCGCATCAGAGTCGCACCCCGTTCATGCGAACCGCTGCGGGTGTGTATGTTAACACCCCGAAAGCGGTCCGCAAAACGCTTTGCGATGGGCAGAATCGGATCGCATAGATGTGAATATGCATGCGATCTGATTCTAGTGTGGACCAAAAAAAAAAAAAAAAACAGGGTCCTGCATGTTTTTGGTGCGGGTGTAGTGCGATTAGAGCCATACAAAATGTATGGCTCCAATCACACCGCACACAACTCGCATGTGATTTGCACAGTAATGCGGTGCAGTTCCTGTGCAAATCACATGCGATTTACTGCACCGCATATATGTGAACCCGGGCTTAAGCACAGTCTGGCCTCGTACCGTTTCCTGTGTATGATCCAGCACTTCTCCTCTTGCCTATTTTTTTTTTTTTTATATTTCACATAGAACATGTATGACCAGATTCAGACTGGAGGGTCGTGTAGTAAATCTGTGCGGCACACCACGATGCCAGCAAGCTTTAACAACATTTCTTGCCCGAGATTCCTGACTAGTTGATTGGTTCAGCTTTTCCATTAGTTAATGATTGGAAGCAGACGTGTCACAGCAAGGAAAAAAATTCTCAAAGCAAACTTAATCCATTGAGAGATTGTACTTCTCTAAACCTAGAAACTGTATAGATTGTCCAATTATAGCCTGAAAACTGGCATAACACGTTACAGTCTGGATTGTACAACCTCTGTATGATATCCTTCAGGAATGAACAAAACTATATCAAATGAGGAACTAACCAACCAAGCAGACAGACCCTTTTGTTACATAGTTGATGGTAATGTACAACACATTGGACTTTGTGTGCAAAATTGTAGGGAAAGTACTACTGCAACCAAGTTCTACTAGGGATTCACTTCCTGTTGTGGGACAGGAAGTGAAGGGAAATCTCTCCAGTCTGAAAAATGGCAAAAAACAGATAGGGATTATAACCTTCCATTACTCGATTCAAAATGAAAAAAGTTGTGGCTTCAGTTTTGCTTTAAGGATTGTCGCACACTACACTTAAATTTCAACAGAGTTTCCCCATGAGCCTCTGAACCCAGGACAACTGCAGCATAAAAGGTTGGTGTCAAGGTATTGAGAGACCCCGCATTGCACTGTAGGATGCAATTTGCAATTTCTCAGTGCGGACTTTCACAAAAGTCACAATTTGCATATTTTAGGCTCCCCACAGCAATATTTTTTTATACTAGTCAGAGGTACGATTCAGCACCTGGTGCTGCCTACCCCTGCACTTGCTTAGTCTGTCAATCTTGAATTGTTGTCAGGGTTACTTTACAGAATTATAAGGCCTTGGGATGCAATAATCACAAATTCTATAAATTACAGAAACAAAAACATACATTAGATTATTAACCTTAAAAAGGCAAGGTCCAAATTCAAAAGGGTTAGAGGTGGAGCTGCCAGCTGATCAGTAAACAGCCTATCAATTCACATGGAGCCCAAAGTACCCCAGTGATGTCACCTTGAGGACTGTATAAGATGGATCCACCCCAGTGGTGTATTTAGGTTTTGTGCTGCCCTAGGCAACACAAAAATCGTCTGCCCCCACAGACACCACCCCCCCCCCCCCCCATGGAGACAGCTTGACATTGACCAACAACACCCCTGCCTCCCACCTGGGAGAGCCTTCCACTATCCCCCCCCACCCCCGGCAATAGAGAGAAAGACACTCATTTTCACAGCTCCAGACATCCCTGGAACGAGAGTCAGGCTCTGCATACACCTTCAAGCAGCCCACAACCTCTCTTGGATCACACCTGGTTCACATGGCGCGCGTGTCCCTTCTTCCGAGGGGAGATGCTGCCCCCCTGAAAAATGCCGCCCAAGGCAAATGCCTTGTTTACCTTGTGGTAAATACACCCCTGATCCTCCCCACATTACAGACAGCTATACTGGTAGATTATTGATTAGTTTATGCGTTTCCCATATGTATGCTATTTTTTTTTTTTTTTTTTTTTTTTTACCAAGCGCCAATCAGAAATCTTCAGTCTGGAATGGCACCCTTTGTACAGCACTGATCAGTACAAGAAGCAGAGACGACATACACCTGATGTCCTTCATTCTACCCCAATGTTACTCGCGTCACTTGCCATATTTCATTTTTTTAAGTGTTTTCTCCAAAGCAGCATCCAAATCTTTCATAGACACCTCTTCATCTTCCCAGCATCCTTTGCAGCAGTGCAGGTTAAGAGCTGCAGGAAATGATAAAACTTCCAGAAGATGGCAGTGGTGATGGAGGGACAGAGCCCTCGGTGATCCCTGTAAACGTTTTACATGAATACCATAGAGGAGGTGTGAGAAAGGTAGAGAAGAAACGTATTGGAAACATTGTGATGATGTGAAGATACCGGACGTCCTATCTGCGGAGACATCAGCTCTGCTGTAAGTACTGGTGAGTGAACATGTTCAGTTCGCTATCCAGCCAGCCGGCTTTATTCCTAGAAGACAAAAACATTTCCTAAATACACAGGTCTGAAGGTTAAAGGCCCACTGGCACGTCAGCATTGCGCCAATGTACGTTCTATGCATTGCAGTGCCATTCACCAAGGTGTGTCACAAACAGACTGCCGGGACACCCTGCAATCCCATCCGGGCTCTCCCATTGTGAGCACGGGACCCAGTGTGCCCCAAAATCAGTGTCTTGAGTTGCCGTGGTGTGGGTGGGCCTGTGATGAACAGGGGTCTCCAATGTGATGGGGGGAGGGGGCCTCTGATGTGAAGTTAAAGAGGTTGTAAAGCTAGTAGTATTTTTACAATAATGCATCCTATGCATTAAAAGGTAAAACATTTTTGTGGTCTGCCCAGCCCCCCACATACTCACCTGAGTCCCATCTCTATCCAGCGATTTGCAGGAGAGCAACGTCTCTCTCTCTCTCCTCATTGGCTGAGAGACAGCATGCTTCTGTCAATCACAGTCAATAAGGAGAGGCAGGGGGAGGATGTGTCTATGAACACACAGAGTGAGACTCAGAAGTGAGCATGCACGAGTGCTCCCATAGCAAGTGGCATGCTATGGGGGCACTTGGCAGGAGGGGGGAGGAGCCAGGAGTTCTGGCGGGGAACCTGAGAATGGGAAGATCAAGGCTGGTCTGTGAAAAACGATTGCACAAAGCAGGTAAGTATGACATGTTTGTATTAAAAAAAAAAAAAAAAAAAAAAAAAAAATAGGTTCACAATCACTTTATTTTCATCAAGGTGGTGTGGTTTGCCGTGTCCTAGGCTCAGGTTTCCCATTATTATTATTATACAGTATTTATAAAGCGCCAATAGTTCGCTCAGCGCTGTACATTACAAAGGGGGACAGAACATGTGACAGAACAATACCAATACAATGCAAAACATGAGGGGATCGAGGGCCCTGCTCTTTGGAGCTTACAATCTAGGAGGGAGGGGATGGTGGCACAGGAGGAGATAGCTGTGGGGGATGGAGTGGTAGGAAGAGTGTGAGGAGGTCGGCAAGTTAGCAGGGGGTGGGGTAGGCTTCCCTGAAGAGATGGGTTTTCAGGGTGCGCCTAAAGGAGAGGAGAGTAGGTGATAATCTGATGGGTAGGGGCAGGGAGTTCCAGAGGATGGGTGACACCCTGGAGAAGTCCTGGAGGCGGGCATGGGAGGAGGAGACCAGGGAACTAGAGAGAAGGAGGTCTTGTGAGGAGCGGAGTGTGCGTGCTGGGCGGTACTTGGATATTAGGTCAGTGATGTAGTTCGGGGCAGTATGGTGGACGGCTTTGTACGTCAGTGTTAGGATTTTGAATTTGATCCGTTGCGCAATTGGAAGCCAGTGGAGGGATTGGCAGAGGGGGGGTGACGGAAACGGAGCGGTTGGTTAGGTGAATGAGTTTGGCAGCCGTATTCAGGATCGACTGAAGCGGGGATACCCAGCGGCGAGGCAGGCCAGTGAGGAGGGAGTTGCAGTAGTCGAGTCGTGATATGATGAGGGAGTGGATGAGCTGTTTAGTGGTTTCTGGGGTTAGGAACGTGCGGATTTTGGCGATGTTGCGGAGGTGGAGTCTGCACGAGTTTGTTAAAGATTGGACTTGGGGCTGGAAGGATAGGTTGGAGTCCAGAATGACACCAAGTACTCTGGCCTGCGGGGCGGGTTTGATGGTGGCATTGTTGGACATGTGATGGAGAAGTCAATGGGGGGAAAGTCATTGATAAGTAACATTTATATTGTTTGCATTTTATTATGGGGTACCTCGATTTTTTGAATACTTTTAAAGGGTGCTGTGAATGAAAAAAAAAAAAAAAAAAAAAGGGTGAAAAACGCTGCATTATGGTAGCACAGCTCCAATCGCACTGCAGTGTGGTGCATGTCGGATTTTCAGCAGAGAGTGCGTTTGATGCTCATTCATTTCAATGGGCTGTCTTAGCACATATGCATTAATGCACCACAAAAATATAAATGGACCCTAAAGGGTTCTCAGCATTGCTGCATCTCTCATAGGATATACCCTGGGCTTGTGGGAGCATGTGACCTTCCCATCTCTCTGACAGAAGCCTGAGCGGCCAATCTTCAGGTCCAAACACTGTCACATAGGAGAGGGGAGCACGTTGTATGAACCCAAATAAAAGTGAAGCACAGAAATGTACCTCAATAGTTTAGCTCGGCTCTGCAAGCCATCCAGGATCTCAATCTTCTTATTCAGAGCGGCTATGTCCTGCTCCAGGTTCTCCCGGGTTACGTCCACCTGCTGACACAAGTGGGCGAAGGTGCCGGACAGCTCCCTGTGGGGTGGGAAGGGGGAGGAGTAAAAGTGGAAAACACACAAGAGGAGCCAAGAAATTTTAAATGGATGCTGCATAAGCTTTTTAACGGTCAATCTAATGAACGGAGGTGGTGGACATGTGCTCAGGAAATGTTTGTTTAATCCCAAAAAACAAGTGGAATTAAACCTGTCATGAGAAACATGGAGGATATTATTACTGCCTGGCTGCATTAGTATAGTGGCCTTCTTAGGTTTCTTACAACAGGAATCTACAAAGCTGAAACACAAGCCAGGAACGGATGAAGGCCTAGTTCACACTGGCTTTGAAAGCATGTGTTTGAGGGTCATTTTTAATGCAAACGATACTATGGGCAGCACACAGTGCTGTTTACATTATCAAAAACATGAAGTGTTAGCGTCACCTTGCTTCAAAACTGAAGCCTCGCATCAGGACAGGAGGAGTTTGAAGCCTTTCAAGTATATGGCGATGCTCCTCAAATGCCCTGGCAGGCGTTTGTGAAGAATTTGTGATGCCGTTAATAACATTACAGTTTATTTAGTTAGTGGTGTGATTTTACCGCTTGTCAATTCTTATAAAACGGTTAAAAAAACTGCACATAGGGCATTTGGGCAGTGTTTTTAACGCTTGTAAAAAGCCAGTCTAAAGCTCGTTAATGCCTGTCTGATGCCTATACTAAAGCTATAGGAGCGTTTGGGAAGAGTAGGAAATTTAGTCAAGTGTGAACAAGCCCTTAGTGCCAGAAAAGTTGCAGTTCTGCAGATTTATGCTACCCTGCCTCTGGCCTTTTTCTCTAAAGTTGAACTCTGGGATAAGCAAACATTGACAAAGTACAAGAGCCTTGTGTATTCTTCGTGGAATATTGGTGTGCTTTGTGTATCTCTTCCATATCTGTGCGGCAATCCAGCATGAAACTGAAAAGCATGAAAAAAAGTTTCCCTAAGGCTTAGAATTCATTATTTAAAGTTTAATTCTGGGATGAGCAACTATTGTCTAAATACTAGTCATGTGTATTCTTGAATCTTGGTGTGCTTTGTGTATTCCTTCCAGATCCGGCCAGAAATCCAGTGTGAAACTTTACCCCTCTGCAGGAACGTATGGTAATAAAGACCGCTCACTGCTGCTCTCTCTCCTTGTGCAGGGTGACTGGTCTTGTCTCCGTCCCCTCCTGTAGTTTTCTGCAGGCTGTAGTGGGAGGATCTGCTGGGCCCCTCCCACAGCTCTGCTCTCTGCACAGGCTATGTACAGCACAGAGATTATATCACTGCTACTTTAACAAGGTAATATCTGTGTTTGGAAAGGTATTTGGGGCACATAAATTGGGTTTTTATCCTTGTGGTTACTGAGGAATATATTTTAAGTTTTTGTGCCCAGACTTCAGCTTTAAATTGGAGTTCCAGGAATACAGCCACTTTGAAAAAAAGGGAAGGTAAACTATGAGTGAAGTCCAACTAGGTGCATGACATCTCCTGGGCTTCTCTCTATTATTTACATCTGGGCAGAAAAAGCGAGCGATAAAACCAAAAAGCAGCTGATGCACCAAAAAGGTAACCAAAAACAACCTCCAAACAAATACAATACAAATGGGTGCAGCGGCACCCATTTGTATTGTATTATTTACATCTGACAAATATTGCTGTGCTGGAGAGACACTCTCAGAACTGAGAAGAGAGAAGCACAGAGAGGAGCTATTGCATCTATTGCTCTGAAGAAGGGAGTTCAACTCCTGAAATGCGTTAGCCCTTTACCTGAGGACCTATGCTGTCCACGACTGGCATCTTTTGACTTCTTGTCTCAGTTTTTATGACCTTTTTGGCTTGTGAGTATGCATTTGTATTTTTATAATAAATTTCATATTATCACGGTAATACACGAAGAGAGTGCTCCCTGTTTTGTTCTTTTCTACAGAGAGCAGCTATGCCCGCCCCTTCCTTGTCCTGCTACTTCACAGAAGCCTTTGTATTTTGTGCATGTGTTCATAAAATACCAAGGCTTCTGTGACTGGGCAGGAGGAGGGATGGTGAGCATAGCTGCTCTCTGTGCTTCTCTCTTCTCAGATCCGGAGTATGCATTGCACCTGCAGCGACTCTACTGTTGAAGATGCAGAGATCAGAAGGCTAGCTGTCTTTTTGGGAGTACTATAAACCTGTCGGATACAAACAATAGAGATGTGATCAGGAGAGGCCATGCACCTCCTTGGACTTAACTCATCTTGTGCCTTCACTTATTACAAAGTAGCTGAATTACAGGAACTCTGCTTTAAACGACTAGTAAACATCACTACAGCAGAGTTATCGGCCCTGAGAACATCCTATACTAAAGACCATTTCAAGCTAAATCTGTAAACAGGCTATTCTTTCCCTGTAGAACATACACAGTTTCTCATGTTTGATGCTGCCACAGTGACCGGCAGGTTGTGTTACTCACTGTTGGACTTGGTGGCTGCAGTTGGATCCGGTGTAGCTGACAATAAGCTGCAACTTCTCAGCTGCGTATTCCACAAACTGGCGTTTGAAGGCTCGTTCTTTCGCTTTGGTGGTCCAGGTGAGGCGTTCATAGACATACAAAAGTCCATAAAGTCCAAACGACAAGGCAATAAGACGCCAGCCTACGGCTTTCCAGACCTGCAAAAATGGCACAAAAAACGCATCACAAGTGAGGCAAACCCACACCGAGCACACATTAAAGTGTATGGAAATCCTAACAATTAACTTTCCTTGCTCCCCTTTGGTCAGTTAAACATACTATTGACTTTTTTTTTTTTTTTAGATGAAAAAGAAAAAAAAAAAAATCAGTTGATCCCTGCCAGAAGTTTTGTGAGTTGCACTACCTGTGCTCTTTGCCTCTGCTGACTGCTGTTTACTTATTCCAAACTGAGGACTACAGAGCACCTCCCCCTATGTAATGGAAAAGAGAACAGGGTAAAAGGTTCTATAGTCCTAATGGTTGCTGTTGCAGGGTGACCACGCTGCTCCTCTGCAGATGCAGTGGAGTGAGTGTTGTCACCCAAAAACAAGTAGTATATTAGTGTATGGAAATCCTAACAGTTAACTTTCCTTGCTCCCCTTTGGTCAGTTAAACCAGCCTTTCTCAACCAGGGTGCCCAGGCATCCTGAGGTGCCTTGAGGTTTCTTCAGGGGTGCCTTGGCAAAATGTCTAAAAATTGCCAAAAACTTGTATACAAGCCAGCGGGTGGGACAAGCTCACCTTTAAGTTACACAAAGCCACAGGTTTTCATTGTGAGCCATTACGACCTTCTAGCCCGCTGGCATCCTGACAACCAATGACATCATCAGTTGATAAGGAGGTTGTCAGCTACCTGCACAGCATCCTAGTTTGACCCTCCCCCGCCCCTCTCCATCAGTGCTGGGATCACATTAGCTCAGTGATGGAGGAAAACTGAGGGAGAGGAGAAACACTGGAATACTAGTCAGTACCAGTCTGCAAAAGTGTTTTTGCTTTGGAACAATAAATCACCTCTAATGTTGGGTGACCTACACATGTGGCTGTTGCTGCGTTATATAAACTATTAGAGTAGTTTTGCATATTTTAGAATGGGGCGCCCTTTTCATATTATGGATAGTCTTGAGGCACCCCATTTTAGAATGGGGTGCCTCAAGACTGTTTATAATTTTAAAGGGTGCTTGACTGAAAAAAAAGGTTGAGAAACACTGAATTAAACTATTGATTTTTTATTTTTTTTATGAAAAAAAAAAAATATATCAGTTGATCCCTGCCAGAAGTTTTGTGAGTTGCACTACCCGTGCTCTTTGCTTCTGCTGACTGCGGTTTACTTATTCCAAACTGAGGACTACAGAGCACCTCCCCCTGTGTAATGGAAAAGAGAACAGGGTGAAAGGTTCTGTAGTCCTAACAGTTCCTGTTGTAGGGTGACCACGCTGCTCCTCCGCAGATGCAGTAGAGTGAGTGTTGTCACCCAAAAACAAGTAGTGGCAGGATCAACAGGTGAAAATAAGCTTGAAAAACAAAAGCTAATGCAGCCTCCACATCTAAGGACTGGTAAGACGCAATATTACACTTTAGTTCTTGGGTCTGCATACACTTTAAATTGAAATAATTTCAGCAATAAGAGACAGCCTAGTAGTAGGAAGCATAAACCAAAAAAACACTCACCACACCTCCCACCACCAGAATACCCATGGATGTCCGGGACGTCAGCGACGCCAACCCAGTTACCATGGAGACCATCAGCTCTTCCTGTGTCATGGCACCTTGCGGCATTGGTGGCATGCTGGGATTTACAGGGGTCAAAGGCATATTTCGAGGTATCTGACAGGTGATAAAACAGAAAAGAATGCAACAATAGGTTTCCCAGTAAGAAAACCATTACTTACCTTTATACAGGGGTGCCTGCAGAGTTTGAATTCACCTACGTACCTGGTCGTTGTAGGCCATCAGGGCACGGCGACCATTTTTAGGTCCTAGGAACCTGTTGACAAGCATGGTCCAGCCCAGTGAGAAGTGGAATTCGATGTCCTCCTGGAAGTCGGCACAAAGCTTGTCGCAGCTCAGGTCATAGCTAAGGTTAAAGCTCTGGCGGGGAACCAGCAGATCCATTTGTGTTCGGGAAGAAGGAGGGAGGAGGGGCAGAAGGCCCTCTGTATAAGGGGAAGAACACAAAGGGGATCAGTGAGTCAAGAAGTGCACTGAAAGCGGACAAATCATACACTACGTGCACCAATATGATGAAGGGGAATGCAAAACAAGGTACTGTATGCATATCTGATATTCAGAGGGTGCTGTAAATCACTGCCCATGCTACTACAAAAATACAAGGCGTTCTGTGAATGATAGAGGCGCCGAATGAGCATGCTTCTGGGGTCAGTGTGCAGACGGGTAGAGGCTCACAGAGGTCCCAGAAGATCATGGCTCTCACTATATGTAGCACGATACAGGTGGATATCAGACATGCATACTTACAGTTGTGTTCAAAATAATAGCAGTCAGACATCACTAACTGGATCAATCGCTGTTTTTGGTAGAAATTATATTTCTACATGGCAAATAATTTCCTAGCAGGTGTAGTAGAGTAATAGAAATCCAACAGACCCAACAGTCATGACATGCATGCTGCTGATTCTGTGTCATTGAATCACTCATTGAAAGGGGCGTGTTCAAAATAATAGCAGTGTGGAGTTCTATTAGTGAGGTCATTTATTCTTTGAAAAAAAGGTGGCAATTATTGCCCTTATTTAAGGAAGGAAGGCAGCAAATGTTGTACATGCCGGTTACAGTGCATTTCTCTCTGAAATTCTGAGGAAAATGGGTCGTTCCAGACATTGTTCAGAAGAACAGCGTACCTTGATTAAAAAGTTGTTTGGAGAGGGGAAAACATAAAGAAGTGTAGAAAATGATAGGCTGCTCAGCTAAAATGATGGCAAATGCTTTAAAATGGCAACTAAAACCTGAAAGACGTGGAAGAAAGCGAAAAACTACCATTGGAATGGATAGAAGAATAGCCAAAATGGCAAGGACTCAGCCAACAATCAGCTCCAGGAAGATGAAAGAAGGTGTGACGTTCCCTGTGAGGACTGTTACAATTAGAAGACGCCTATGTGAAGCCAAGCTATCTGCAAGAAGCCCCCGCAAAGTCCCACTGTTGGAAAAAAGACATGTGCTGAAGAGGTTACAATCTGCCAAAGAGCACATTGACTGGCCTAAAGAGAAATGGCGCAACATTTTGTGGACTGATGAAAGTAAGATTGTTCTTTTTGGGTCTAGTGGGCGGAGACAGTTTGTCAGACGACCCCCAAACACTGAATTCAAGCCACAGTACACTGTGAAAGACAGTGAAGCATGGTGGTGCAAGCATCATGATATGGGGATGTTTCTCATACTACGGTGTTGGGCCTATTTATCGCATACCAGGGATGATGGATCAGTTTGAATACATCAGAATACTTGAAGAGGTCATGCTGCCTTATGCTGAAGAGGGAAATGCCCTTGAAATGGGGGTTCCAACAAGACAATGACCCCAAACACACCAGTAAACGTACAACATCTTGGTTCCAGATCAACAAGATTGACGTTATGGAGTGGCCAGCCCAATCCCCGGATCTTAATCCAATAGAAAACTTGTGGGGTGACATAAAAAATGCCGTTTCTGAGGCAAAACCAAGAAATAGAGAAGAACTGTGGAATGTCGTCCAATCATCCTGGGCTGGAATACCTGATCACAGGTGCCAGAAGTTGGGTGACTCCATACAACACAGATGTACAGCAGTTCTCAGAAACAGTGCGACTACAACCAAATATTCATGAAGTCATTCAAAGGAAAGCAAAATCTTCAAACATTTCTCAGTTTATATAGTGAATGTTTGAGTTTGTAAAGAAGAATACAAAACACTGCCATTTTTTTGAACCGTCTAATATTCACTTTTCTTCAATTTTTTTTAGAGAAACAAACACAAATTTGATGTATTTTTCTTCATGTTTTGATTTGGAATAGAATGTGTCGTGTTCCCAATGCATTTGTGTGTATGGAAATAAAAGCTATTAGAAGGATTTTGAGCTTTATTCACTTTTTTCAACACACTGCTATTATTTTGAACACAACTGTACATCGAACCAAGCTGTCCAATGTATCAATGCAAAAAAAACAAAACAAATTATTGGACTTTAGATTTAATACTTCATTAACAGAAACACAGACTGGGGTTTATTTCCTGAAGCTGGTTCACTCAGAATCTGGTGCAGTTGGGCATGGCAGCCAATCAGCTTCTAACTTCAGCTGGTTCAATTATGTTTTAGCAATAACCCTCTGTTCACATCAAAGCGTTTTCTGCAGCGTTTTGCAGAAACGCAGTACAGTCCATTTAACATTATAGTAATATAGTACTGACAGTGCTCCCCCGTGGATTGTTGCTCTGTGTTCTTTACATCAATTCCAGGGTTATGTACTCTGCTTTGGTCTTGATGACATCAGGATCTTAGGCCATTGGAACATGAGGGAGAAGACACTGCGGGGACTGGTGTATCAGCTTGGAGGATCAGTATTTATTTGCAGAGCCCGTTTTTTGTGATCCAGTTGCCTACCCATCAGTCTTATCCAGAGAAGGACGTTATCCTGTAAGCAGGCAGCCTTCTTCTACCCATCCCTTAAAGGGACCTCTGGTTACCTGGATCCGAGTAATTTGTTACTGGGCATTTGCTGACTACTACCCTGTGGGAGGACCACCTTAACCCTGACCAGACCCCCATATCTGATGAGGAAACCCTGGATGTGATACTTCATGCGTATAACTATTGCGCATCTGGTGAGTGCGTAATTCTGCTATTTTTCACGGAGCACCACCACTGAATTTAACCAGTCACCTGGCACCTTAGAGTCACACAGGCTGTCATTTATACTGAACTTTTATTACCAGTTTATCGTCTTATATATTTTTTTTATTTCTTTGATTGGAACTAGAATTTTAGCGCTGCACTAACTTATCTAGTCCATTTAACATGATTTCCTATGGGACAGGTTCACATCTCACCCGGTGCGTTTTTTGGAAAGGGTCAGGGACTTTGTTGAAAGCAAAACATTGCATTTTTGGTTCTATAGACATCAATGGGAATGCTGCAGAAAAGCGTGTATTGCATTTTAAATCTGCCTAGCAACAAGGAGAAAAAAAAAAAAAAAAAAAACACAAAAAACGCAAAATGCGTCAAAAATGCAACACAAAGCAGAAACGCCTCAAACGCAACCTGCATAGGCATGTACCTAGGGTAAAACCTGTAATCTGATTGGTTACTATGCAGAAGTGCTCAAGATTCTGAGTGAACCAGCTTTAGCAAATAAACCCCACTGAGTTTATCAATCACTCTCCTGCACATCCAAGCCCTGAAGATGGGGAATCTTCTTAAGCCCCACCCATTTTGGATTTAAATAATAAAAGCCAATCATTTGCACCTAAAGTAGAACTAAAGATAAAACTTTTTTTCCCCATTTTGGATAAAGTATGGGAGGGTTATGATCCCTCTCAGGTTTTTTTTTTTTTCCCCCATTTGTGTCCCATCGGGCATATTTTCTTTTCAGTTCCTGTCCCACAGCCCAAACAGGAAGTGAGAGAATCTTTCAAAAGTGAGAGAATCCTGGGGTGTCACCAGAATCAGCGTCCCCATTGGAAGATTTCCAATCTATTCCTGTTATGAAGCCTAAATTTGTGATTTTCTTTCAATTTTGGTGATAACAGTAAAACAAGACAAACAGAAAAGGTGCATCTCCCTACTGGGGACACACACAGCAATAAAAACCTGACAGGCGTTCTAACCTCTCTACATTCTATCCAAAACTAAAAAAAACAAACAAAACAAAAAAAAAAAAAAAAAAAAAAAAAAAAAAAAAAAAAAAGCGCCTTTAGTTATACTTTACCACCCGACTGATTCCTCCTGTTGGTTCTCCTTATCCTCTTCACCTCAAGTTTTCACCCAGAGCCCCTCAGTGAGTAGATGGAAACCCCGATTTAAGAGCAGTCTAAAGTGCTATAAATGACACAACTAAAAACTTCCTTTTCTTCATCATTAGGGCCCAATAAATCACTTAGATCTGGTACCAGAACCAACCTCATCACAACAGCCATGTTTGAGGATTCAGTCAGACACAAGCAGCCAAACGACAGGCTGCTTCTGCTATGGAGTATTTTTGGATAATAGAGCTCTGGACACTTGTTATATATTAAAGGATAAGTTCACCTTTCATAACATGTTACACCCATCTTCAGGGTGTAACATGTTATGAATGGACCAGCCCAGGGGCGGACTGACCATTTGCAAACTCGGGCACTGCCTGAGGGCCTGGGGTCAGTAGGGGGCCCCATGAGATGCCCCATGTACCTTTTCATAGGTTTTTTTGAGTTTGGGCAAGGACACAGGGGCCCCATGATCCCCTATTGCCCGGGGGCCCCATGAGTTGTCAGTTCGCCCCTGGACCAGCCCCCGCTCCTCTTTTTGACAGCTAGTGGAGGGTCTTCTCCTCCCGCATCATTCATTCACGGTGTTCTGTGAATGAACGAACTACAAGTCCCGGCAGCATTAGCGGCTGTTGGCTTGTAGTTCTCAAACTACCACGGCGCTGTGTGGGCAAGCAGATATACTGACAGATCTGCAGGAGATGTGCATGGCACCAGCGATCTGCAGCGATCTGCTGATCGCTGGTGCAATGCTTTACGGGCTCCAGAAACATTTTTGTAAAAAGGTGAACTTTAAAAATTAATTTTTAATCAAAGACTGTATACACAGTATAGCAAAAATAAAATGTAATGCAATGTTTAAATATGTATACAAAAAAAAAAAAAAAAAAAAAGATACAAGTATCCCGTTGAGCCCGGGTTCACACCAATACGGTGTGGGAAACACTGTGAATCCTGTGCGTTTCCCGCACTGTAATAGCATGGCATTCATGTGTTCATGTGATCCAGTGCAGGTGTCAATGATAAATTAATGAGCCCTGAAACACCCATGCGATGCAATTCAGGTGTGGATTAAAAAAAAAAAAAAAAAAAAATGCCCTGCACCTTTCAGGAGATGTGATTTGAGCCATACAAAATGTATGGATTAAATCGCACCACACAGACATAGCATGCAATTTGAATCGGTCGGTGCGCCCTTTTTCTGTTTCTCCATTTGTATCCATGTCATGCAATTTGCACAGGAATGCAGTGCTATTCCTGTGTGAATTACATGCGGTGTCCCACACCGCATTAGTGTGGACCCAGACTTAAAGATGTAAAGCACAGTTAATTTTTCTCCAAAGAGAAACTTGGCACCTGCATTAGGCTCCATTCACACTTGTGCGACTCCAAAGTTGCACGATTTCCAGTGCGACTTTAAAGTGCAACTTTAATCTGACTTTACACTTCCTGGCACTAAGTCGCATCAAAGAAGTGCAGGAACCTTTTCAAAGTCTCCAACTTCAGGTCGCATAGATTTGAACGGGTGACATTGAAAACAATGGGCTGTGAGTTGTCATGTGACTTTATGTGTTCCAAAGTCGAGTGACAAGTTGCATAAGTGTGAACGGAGCCTAGGTTTTTGGATACAATTCCCACTGGGGACACTCCCCACAGTGAATGTATTGTCTCCACTCCAAGTGCTCTGGATTCTTCTCATCTCCCCCAAAAATCTTGGATTGTTGTGTAACTAAATTGCTATGGGCAACGCAAAGTGATACTAAAGGCTTACATTTCTTTTTTCTAAAAATAACAAGCATGTCTATACTTAGCTGCTATGTGCAGTGGTTTTGCACAGAGCAGCCTGGATCCTCCTTTGCTGGGGTCTCCCGCAGGCTCTCCTGGCCCCTCCCTCATGTCGGCTTCCCCACAGCAAGCAGGCTCACCCCCCTCTCTTTTCATTGGCTCACTGGCTGTGACTGACAGCAGCAGGAGCCAATGGCTCACGCTACTCTCTCAGCCAATGAGGAGATTGAGTCTCGGGATAGCCTAGACTCCAGTGCACATCACTGGATCGAGAGAGGGCTTAGGTGAGTATTAGGAGGGGCTGCTGAACACCTTGAGCCTTTACAACCACTTCAACTACCAATTTTCAGGTCCCAGATTGTTCCTCTTACCGATCATCTCCTGCTGTGTGGTCTGCAATGACACAGAAATCGTACTGGAGCATCGATCAGACAGGTTCCTCCCCAGCCCCTCCTCGATGTGACGGTGAAGCTCCTGGAGTAAAACAAAGCCTGGTTAGGAACGTGGCCAGGACCTGAATTCAGTGCATTTTCTAACAGGAGCGGGTCACTCACATTTTTGTAAACCTTGAGAACAACTTGCGAAGGGTGAAACTCCAACAGGAACTCGTCCACCAGGACAGACAAACGGCGGATCTCCTCGGCCATGGCGTTGGACACCTGATATATTTATATGTTCAAATAATAAATCATTAAAAAGAGGAGCCAATGGTTTCACTAGAATTACATTTGATAGAAAATATGACAATCCTGGCAGAGGGACACCAGAGGACATTTTAGATAGGAAGCCAGTGAACTTCTTTCTCTAATTCCACGTTTATAAAAATTTGCAGCAACAGTAAAGCCGAGCATAGATGGATCTAATGAATTTCGATCTATGTAGGAGTAGGCTGGTTGTACTGAAGTTGATGGTTCGATTGACTTAAAGCGGAGTTCCACTCACCTGTCAAAAAAAATTACTGCTGACTTTTAAAAAACAGCCACTTACCTGTCCCTCGGTCCCGTGGTGTGTCCGCCGCAGCCCGTTTCAACGGCCGTCCTGTATTCCAGGAGGCCGGCATCTTCAGTGTAGGCACCCGGCTGTGACAGCTTGCGGCTTTACAGCTGGGTACCCAAGTAGCGCTGCGCTTCATGAATGGTCCTGTAGTCTTCTGGGACCTGTCACGTGTCCCAAAGGACTACAGGGAGGGAGGGAGGGAGGACACCTTCTGCTTCCAATCGCCTAGGCGATCGGACCGGAAGTGGGAGCGGATACCTGTCAAATTCAGGTACCCGCGCTCACCCCCTGCCCCCCAAAAGGTGCAAATCCTTAACGAGGAGCAGTCCTTAAAGTGGAACTTCCCCTTTTGGGTGGAGCTCCGCTTTAAGTACAACCAGCCTGTCGGGGGTTTTTTTTTTTTGTTCGATCACTGCCAGCAGCTATAGCCACCAGCACTGAACATTGGATTCTGATGGCTGGGAAACCTCCTGTTGTCAGAACACAAGAGCAACACTGAATGTGTGGATGGGGAAATTGAGCAATTTTCTTTCCTGCAACCACACTTAATGTATGGCTTGCTTTATTCTAAAGCCACTTCTATCCAAAATGGATATTTAAGACATATGTAGATAATATAGGTGCACAGCATAAAACAAAAAACGCTATAAATAGTAAGACCGTGTGACATGCCACATATAGAGCATTAATCAACGTGCAATAGCATAGTGATCATATTAATAATTCAAGGCAAGTGAAATAACGTCCAAATAATAAGACATATGATATGAAAATCTCTATTAAAAAGGTAAAAATAACAGATACTGACCAAAAAGTTTAGGATGGCCACCAGCTTACGTCCTGCACCCTATGAATACGTGCTTAGCACGAAACGCATCGGGGGGCTACAGCTTCTGGACATCTAGCCACCGCTGGTGGCCATCCTGAACTTTTTGGTCAGTATCTGTTATTTTTACCTTCATACTTTAATAAAAGCTCATCAAACAGTATCACACTATGTGATGTCCCTTATTGGGCTCTCTCTGTGAGCGCCATCCTCTGCAGTTCCTGTCTCTAAAGGTGACTCCATGATGCTGTGAGTGGATAACGAAAGATGAACCCCAGGATCCTGTCCTGTCTGTGACCAGATGCTGATAGTGAATGCAGCCTGTTCTGAATACAGAAGAGCCTTCACGTGTCTGATACAGGAGTTTTTTCCTAATGCGTATCTAATACGCACTTCTGGTGAGTGCGCATTCTATTCATTACCTACCACCTCTGGATCACATATTCCCACCATAAATAGGGACTCTACGAGATTTTCATATCATATGTCTTCTTATTTGGACGTTATTTCACTTGCCTTGAATTATTAATATGATCACTATGCTATTGCACGTTGATTAATGCTCTATATGTTGCATGTCACACGGTCTTACTATTGCACCTATATTATCTACATATTGCTTTGGAAGGTGTATTGGTTACCTTTTTTTGGTGTTCTAGCCGCTCTCTTGATATATTAATTTTTTCTAGGTAGCGCTAGCTAGATAACCTATTACTCATCTGGATATTTAAGACAGTCTGTGTTTGAGACGGGTCATGTGTCACAGCATGCAAGTACCACTTAGACATAGATATACCTGCATACACCCACTGAGAATGTACAGTCAGTCAATGATCTGGGCATAAAACTACATAAAAACTAGAAAAGGTACAATTTCTGGGGAAATTGTGTGAAGTGTTCTTGCATCCAACCGTAACCAAGTGATTGATGAAATGTAAGCAGTGCACATGGCCAGCCTGATAGAGAAATGCATTTCAACTTGTATTTAGCAGCTCACAGTCCAGCCTGGTGACTCAGCTGCCTGGTGAGTCATCGTTGGTTGCTATAGCAACTCACTCAGTCACAGCAAGCTTAGAGGGGCTTTTATAAACAAACTGCTCCAACTTGCCAACTTCCCTGGTGGTTGCCATCTTCAACATCTTCGGACGCTTTCCCCCCCCTTCCAGTCCGGACGCTCCCCCCCCCCCCCCCTTCCAGTCCGGACGCTTTCCCCCCCCCCCCCCTTCCAGTCCGGACGCTTTCCCCCCCCCCCCCCCCTTCCAGTCCGGACGCTTTCCCCCCCCCCCTTCCAGTCCGGACGCTTTCCCCCCCCCCTTCCAGTCCGGACGCTCCCCCCCCCCCCCCCCTTCCAGTCCGGACACTTCCCCCCCCCCCCTTCCAGTCCGGACGCTTCCCCCCCCCCCTTCCAGTCCGGACGCTTCCCCCCCCCCTTCCAGTCCGGAAGCTTTCCTCCCCCCCCCCTTCCAGTCCCCCCCTCCAGTCCGGAAGCTTTCCTCCCCCCCCCCCCCCCTTCCAGTCCGGAAGCTTTCCTCCCCCCCCCCCCCTTCCAGTCCGGAAGCTTTCCTCCCCCCCCCCCCTTCCAGTCCGGAAGCTTTCCTCCCCCCCCCCCCCCTTCCTGTCCAGGGCAATTTTCAGCTTTCAGCGCTATCACATTTTGAATGACAATTGCGCGGTCATGCAACACTGTACCCAAATGAATTTTTTACCATTTTTTTGAGACCGGTAAAGCTTTATTTTGGTGGTATTTATTCACCCCTCGGATTTGTATTTTTTTTGCTATGTAAATGAAATGTCCAAAAATTTAAAAAAAAAGTGTTTTTTTTAATAAAATTTTGCAAATAATATTTCATCATAAATCTTGGCCAAAATTTATTCCGTTTTTATCTTTTTAGTAAAAAAAAAAAAAATCCAAATTAGTTTATAACCAAAAATTATAATTTTTAAACATTTTTTTTTTTACATTTTTATTTTATTTATATTATTTTTTTTTTTTTTTACATACTGTCACCCTAGCAGCACAGTGTTACCATGGTGACACTGTACTACTTGTGGGGGGTGATGAAGATTTTTTTTTTTTACACTGATTGCTTTTACACCCATATAGGATGTAAAAGCAATCATTTCTCTTTCTCTCTGTGTGCATTCCTGCACTCATTGAGAAGTACTGAGTGAGCTGTGATTGGTCACAGCTTGTCACATGGTACAAGGCTTTTGTGAATAGCCTTGTACCATGTGACCTCTGTGATCATTCACAGATTTCACACGTAGTAAGCAATGATGTCACAAGTGACATCTTGCTTACTACTTTGCATGTGATCACTGACTGGCCAATCAGTGATCACATGATCGGGACCTCGTACAGAGGTCCCGTCCGACAATCGGTGTTTCACTGTGTCCGGAGGACACAGCGGGCACCGGATCGCGGTGCTGCGCGCTCCCAGGCAGCGCGCACAAGCAGGGTGCGGGGAGGCCGTTTATAAACGGCCACCCGACCCTGCAGTGCCACCGCCCGGCCGTTTATATGTAACGGCCGGTCGGGAAGTGGTTAAAAGTATAAATGAGACTCGCAAGACATTTTGATGTATAGTATGTCTCTGAAATATTAAAAATGAAGGCAAAGTCGCAGTTTAAAAATGCCCCTTAAAATTTGAGGTGGCTAGAGTGGAGTTTCAATGAATGTCAATGGGCGGCGTGAGTTGCAAACAAATGGTCATATTGTGAAAACTATCAGGACTATGGCTTAGCCGTGGACATTTTTAGTGGCAGCCGGGATTGCTGAACGTTTTGATATAAGATATGTGTAGGTGGGCTTGAAAATGAGGGAGAGATGGCAGTTTACAAATCATGTTCTGATTTTTCAGCTCACACTCTAGCTTTTGTCGGCTCCCACTCTAGTATTGAACATTCCGCCATTCATTCCTATGGGACCAATTTCACCACAAAAACGGCAATATTTCGTGAACCATTCGGGGAAACGTTCCACAAAGTGATAGCCCACCAATCGGGAACAATCCGCACGTTTACGTATATTACTGTCTATGTAGTGTAAACACTGTGGGAGGAGTTAGGGGGGTAAATTTGGCTATAATAATAGGAATGTATATGTGAGATAACAGGGAGGGGTCTGCCATGCAGGAACACCTAAAAAAGAGAGGCAGGGAACAACGCTCAACTTCCAAGTGTTCTGGAATGGGGCCTAGGCTCAGAGAAGTTTGTATTGCCCTTCAGTGTCACTTAGTGAGATCCTCACATCAGTATCATTGAACTTCCCCAGAGAGATCCTCATTGTCAGTATCACTGAACTCCCCAAGGAGATCCTCCTATTGGCATCACTCCTGTCAGTAATCACTGAATTTCCCTCAGAGAGATCCTCACATCAGTATCAATGAACTCCCCCAGAGGAATCCTCACCTCGGTGGCACTGAAACGGCCCTAGAGAGATCCTAACCTGGTGTCCATTGAGCTTTCCCAACCTCTCCATCTACTCAGTACGCTCCGAGTCTTTATAAACCGCCCGAACTACCAAAATATCAACCTATGGAGAGTCAAATTTGAATTTAACTTTAAAATCTTTCTTTTGGCTTTTATGTTCACTTCCAAATCTTTCTGGCTCTATAAACCAACTAAAAACACAAATCATTCAGATTTAATCAACCCTGAGGTGGCAAAACCCATTTCCCAGAATCCTTTGCAACGATATGCAAATGAGCAGGTTCAGCCAGTAACATTCAAATCCTAACTGTCACCAGGGTGCCTATGAGAGCTCCCAACTGACTTTTCATGCCATAGCTGGACATGGGAGCAGGACCACGGCAACTGCCCATAAAATGACAGTTTTCTTACCTAGAAAGATCGGGGGGGGGGGGGGGGGGGGGGGGGGGGGGGGGGGGGGGGGGGAGGGGGGGGATTCTGCTGTAACAACTCATTACTAGAAAATCTACAATTTCTGGGGAAATTGTGTAAAGTGTTCTTGCCGCAACCTTTACCAAGTAATGATGACATGTAAGCAGTGCACATTGCAAGCCTGACAGAGGGAGAAATGCATTTCAGCTTGTATTTACCATCTCACAGTCCAGCCTGTGTGACTCAGCTGCGTGTGAGTCATGTTTGGTTGCTATAGCAACTCACTCTGTCAGGAATGTCATTAGCTGTGCTCTAAACAGGCTTTTTAAACTTGGCAAGTTCACTGGCGATTGCCATCTTCAAACGCTTGTAGTTTTAAAAGTATAAAAGCTACTGTGAAAAGGTTTATATTGTGACAATCACAAGAAAAAATACCTACAATTTGATGTATAGTATGTCTCTGAAAGATAAAAAATGAAGGCACAGTCGCAGTTTAAAAACGTCCCTTAAAATGTCTGGTGTCTACAGTGGAGTTTCAATGAAAGTCAATGGGAGGGGTGATGTGCAAACAAATGGTCATATTCTGAAAACTATCAGGAGTATGTCCTAGCCGTGAACATTTGTAGTGACAGCAGGGTTAGCTGAACGTTTTGATATAAGATATGTGTAGGTGGGCTTGAAAATGGCAGAGTGATGGCAGTTTACAAATCATGTTCTGATTTTTCTGATTTTTCCTTTGCACACTCTAGCTGTGCTCTGCTGCTCAATGCATTCCTATGGGAAAATTTCGCCACAAAAACCGCGATATTTCGTGAATGATTCGGCGAAATGTTCCACAAAGTAATAGCAATCCGATCGAGAACAATCCGCACGTTTTGATATATTACTTGTCTTTGTAGTGTAAAAACTGTGGGAGGAGTTAGCGTGGCAAATTTGCTATAATAATAAGAATAAGAATATACTTGTGAGATAACAATAAGTGTTCCTTGCTATGCAAGAACACTTAACTACAATAAAATGTGCATTGTTCTCTTGCAGTCCTGTACATGAGCCCTAGGAATGGTGATTTGTCCCAAACACCCAACAGCCAAATATGGTGTCACCCCCCCAAACAGATTCTTCATTATATAAAATAAATGAATAATCAAAGTATAAATGGTGAGCGCAAGACAAAAAAGGAAAAAGTAAAGCAGCTAGCACAATGTGGCAAACCCTCTGTCTCCAACAAAACAAAACACTATATCAATGTGCAGCGCTAATAAAAATGTGTGTTCTAATCAATGATGACCAGTGTGATAGTAAAAGGGAATGGAAACATCATAAAAAAGAAATAGAGACTAGTGAATACTCCAATGAACAAAATGGACGATATAACGAATGAAAATATATAAGTCCTCTAAATATCATACTAGTCCCAAAAATAGCATGTATGCTCCTCTCTGACGCGTTTCGTGCACACGCACGTTCTCAAAGGGATCCATCTAGTGTCATTCCCATCTGGGCTTGCTTGTTACTTACTTCTGGTGAGTTCATTATGGTGGAGGTGCAGTGCAGAAGTCACAGAAGTCACTACATTTTGTTGATTTTATCACATCACTATTTTTGGGACTATTATGATATTTAGAGGACTTATATATTTTCATTTGGTATATCGTCCATTTTGTTTCTTCATTGGAGTATGCACTATACTCCATTTCTTTTTTTATGCGGTTTCCTCTTTTACTATCACACTGGTCATCATTGATTATAAAACACATTTTTATTAGTGTTGGACATTGATATTATAATATAAAAGATAATAAAACTCTCCTAAATACTTAAACTGCCATAAATTAAATAATTGAAATGATCATTTCATGTTTAAAACAGAATAAAAATATTCTAAGGTTCCATATAGGTACTAGAAATAAACAAAAGAAAAGTCTTCTGAAAAACAATATAAACTGGAGAAACAAGCTGTGATTTTGAGACTTTCTAGCAGTTTAAAGCCCAGCTCTGGGGAACCTGATGATTCTCCCTTGCAGTGCTTGTTTGGGTCCCGGGGAGAGGAGAAGCACTTTTACTTACCTGATACTCCACTCTCAACAGAAGGCACTCCTCCATGTTTCAGCAGTGTACTCTCCCTTGGTGTCCTCAAATCCAATGCAGGGCCATGCACCCTGCATTGGTCTTGATGATGTTAGGACCTTGAAGCATGGGGGAGAAGACACTATGGGGACTGGTTTAGCAGTGCAAGGATTGGGTAAATAAATCTACTTTTCCAGATCCCCTTGACCTGAATGAGCAGGTAATCCTTGAGTAGGGGTGCAGCCCCATTGCAAGAGTGAATTTTTTAGCTTTGCCGCAGTTGGGTTTGAAGATGAACTCCACTGAAACCAGCTATATTGCCATTACCTGTCGCTCCACCTCATCTGTGATCTGTTTGATTTTCATTTTATAGTCCTCGGTGAGGAGCTCGAGTTGTTTCTCGATGAACTCCAATCTGTCTCTGAATTCTTCCCGCTTTTCCAGGCAGTAAACTCTGCAGAGAGAATGAGACATATTCTGATGTATACAGTGGGAGGACTGAGAACCAGGACTGAGATGGTCCTTTAACATACTGTGTAGTTCAACCATACTGCTTTCTGAAATCGGATTATCATTTTCTAACATGGAAAGCAACTAATAAAGAACATTAAAAAGGGAGCCTTTCACTATGAAGATGTCCAATGACAGGAAGCAGTGCCGGTTCCATGGTAAAGCAAAACATCCCACAACATCATGTACAGCGAGATATTTTCTAGGAGTTGGGACAACAGCAGTCACCAGGGATGCATGAAAGCCCTTCCTTGTCAAGTAACAGCCACCCCAACAGATACCTTTAACCTTCTTGGCGGTATGATTCTTTCCGATTTTTTGTGCTGAAAGCGGTACCATTTTTTTGCATGGAAATATGTAGTTTTTTATTGTAGGCTGTAATTTTTAGGAATAACTCACTGAAATCTGTACGAACAAGAGTCTAGTAAACATCCCGGGGATGATAAAACTTGAAACACGAAATCATAAATTATAATTTAATAAATAATCAAAAAATAATATATAATAATAAATTTAATTCAATAATATAATCAAACCAAAAACCCTGAAATTTGAAATAGAGGCAAATTCGCACATCGCTGAGCAAAGTCGCAAAATCGTTTTCAGTGTCTGATGAGGAATTTCCCCCACGAATCATTATCACTTAATTCTGCAAGTGGTTCTGATTTACTATCGCTGTTCTCTAGCCGGTCTAAAACCGCTTTTGACGTAAAGGGACGCTTTTTGGACGCCATGGACTTTTCTAAGTTTCCAGGCAGAAAGAACAGTCAAAGTGCAGGCAGGGCGCAGGACAAAGCACTCGGGACAAAATGTATGTGAAATGCATTGAAACAGCAATGACAGCAAAAATGACATTTGTAAAAAATTTCAAATTTCCTGCCGGTTCCGGCTACCGTATGTCCTGACGTCACAGGGACCGGAACATGGCAGCCGACATCGGCCGGAGGAGATGGCCGGGGACGCTGCAGGGGACACATCGTGGGAGCGAAAGACAAGGTAAGTGCTGCAGGGACCCCCCAGAGCAACGCCGCATGGTAAGCCCGAGTGTAGCTTGGGGTTACCGCTCTTGGTATTGAAATTTTTACCCCGAGCTACACTCGGGAAAACCGCTAAGGAGGTTAATGTACAGCAAGAAAACCCTTTGCTTTGCCCTCTAAAGTTCAATTGACCCTTCTTACTTTATTATTGTAATGCAGTCAGGTTGCATATACAGGAATACTTTTTTTTTTTTTTTTTTTTTTTTTTACACTTTTCATCATTGTCTTTCCTTTGCCTCCTGTCCACACGCCATTTGGTCGCAGGGAGAAAAGAGAAGTACTCAGTACAGTGGTACCTCGGTTTCTGAATTTAATGCGTTCTCCGGGACGTTTTGTATTGTGAAAAATGTGTAAACCCAAATGCGGTTTCCCATAGGAATGCATTGAAAACCAATTAATTTGTTCCGGAAAAAAGAAAAAAAAAAGTAAAAAAAAAAAAAAAGTCTTTTATCGGTTCCAAACTCTTTATAAAGTGCACTTTAAAGGCATAAATACTGTACAGGGACATGCTTAAAACATTTCCAGAATGGCTCCAAAACTCTATGCAAAAACCGCTCCAACACCTCGACACCACGTGCTACCCACAGACTCCAGCATGCATGGGGCGGCGCTATAAACCTCCCAAGCGCAATGCATCCTGGGGAAACTTCGTATTGCGAAAAACAGTTTGTAAACCAAGGCATAATTTTCATTCGTAAACCGAAAATGATGTTATTTGAGGTACCACTGTACATCCAGGTATGGAGAGCAAGTGACTCTCTTCTCTTCCTCCTACATGAGGACACCGGTGTTTACCCTCCCCATTGGCTGTACAAATATATGTGGCAGCATGCAGGTGGGCCTTATGCTGCACTGACACGCACGCACACACTGACACACACACACACCCACACACAGCATAGCGGTTTCTTGCTGTAAGCTCGCTCAATAGTGCACCCCCAGCACTGTGATCGCACTGCCACTGACAGTTCCAGTTCACCTAGCAAGGTAGCCATCCTAATACTCCCAATCTAGTGAGCACTGTCATAGCCAATCACAGTGATCACACGAAGCCCAGAAATCGCTTCATTTAAAACACTTAAAAGGGCTGGTGGGAAGCCGGCAGAAAAGGTTAACGATTGTGTTGCCGGCAAAAAGAGCATTCTCAGACCTATATAAGCTCCAAGTCACAATTAAGTTTACACAGGGCTTCCTCTCTTCCCTCTTGGGGGCTGCACAGCATAATAGGGACAGAAAGGAACGTAAATGATGCTGAGCAAGTTAAAGGATAAGTTCACCTTTTGGAAAAATATAATAAATGCACATTTTTTTTGCAGGTAAAAAAAAAAATGTACATTTATTATTTTTGTCCAAAGGAGCCTGTAAAGCATTGCACCAGCAATCAGTAGATCTCTGATGCCATGCGGGTCTTCTGCAGACGTGTCAGAATATCTGCTTGCCATACGGGATATACAGCCAAGAAGATATACGGACAGGAAGCTTCAATGAACTACCACAGTGCTCCATAGTGCCATGGTAGTTCATTGAAAACTACAAGCTGACAGCTTCTAAGGCTCTCGGGACTTGTAGGCACTCATTCACAGAACTCTGTGAATGAGTGATGCGGCCGTGTGGGCTGTTTTCAAATCTGACAGATAGTACAGGGAAACTTCTCCCCATACTATCTGCCAGAGGGAGAGCGGCAGAAAACTATAGGAACATGTAACATGTGCCACCTGAAAACCAGTTAGAACATGTAACATGTTCCAAAGGTGAACTTATTTAAGTTCATCTGTGGCATTGCCATTCATAGGCACTGCACTGGTTCATTTTAAGCACAACATTAAAAACAAACAATTGACGCAATGAGGCTTTAATAAAATAAAAGTCAAGTGTTTTTTTGTTGTTTTTTTTTTTTTTTTTTTTATTTCTGTTAACTGCACTCCAAGGAGAGATTTCTAACCCCATTGTGCCATCCTATAGGCAGATAAAAGAAAACTCCCAGCATGCCCTCCTACAACTGTTATGCCCTGGTCTAAATCACATGCTTACCTCTGTTCCTGGGCCGCCACGTGCACAGACTCCATGATTTGCCGTAAAACCTCTGCTATGTGTTTGGCTCTCATTGTATGTTGTTCAAATTTGGTTTTCACAGCCGACTGTGAGATGCACTCCTGCCCAGACAGAAACAAACTGTATAATAACCTGAAAGCATGACAGAAAAATAACATTTATTATCACTGACAAAACTTACCTCAAATCTTCTTTCAAAGTTCTGAAATTCAAACATCCGAACTTGGAACCCTTCGGCCAATGCTCCACCTGTCATGAAAAGGTTTAATAATAATAACGTGCAATGAAATGAACAAAAACAAAAAAATGAAATACTTATAAAGACCACACTGATTACCTCCTTCTGGCATTCCTTGAGCTTTCTGTATTCTAGCATTTACCACCTCCTTGGCGGACACAAAGAACACACGATCAGTGGCCTGGGCCCGGTCCAGAACACCCAGCTCATCCACCAGGAAGCTGGTACACCGCTCCATGTGCTGACGTCGCACCTGCAGAGAGCGGAGGGATACAAGGTCTGAACGTCAGTTCAGGAACAGCTCGGGGGTCCTTTCATACATTATTATTATACAGTATTTATAAAGCGCTGATAGTTCGCTCAGCGCTGTACATTACAATGGGAGACAGAACATGTGACAGAACAATACCAATACAATGCAAAACATGAGGGGATCAAGGGCCCTGCTCTTTCAGCTTACAATCTAGGAGGGAGGGGATGGTGGCACAGGAGGAGATAGCTGTGGGGGATGGAGTGGTAGGAAGAGTGGAGGAGGTCGGCAAGTTAGCAGGGGGTGGGGTAGGCTTCCCTGAAGAGATGGGTTTTCAGGGTGCACCTAAAGGAAAGGAGAGTAGGTGATAATCTGATGGGTTGGGGCAGGGAGTTCCAGAGGATGGGTGACACCCTGGAGAAGTCCTGGAAGGGGGCATGGGAGGAGGAGACCAAAACCTCCTCCCATACATGTGAATTTTGCTCCATTCAGCAGGTGATCCATAAGCAGGTCCCCTGCTGAATTAGAGGTGAACAGGACAAAATGTCAGTTTGTGACATCCGTACCCATTCACTTTTTGGCAGCATTTTTACTATGGCGGACCATGGGTGGCCAGGTTTAAGTGAACTTAATCCCTGATCTGTCATGTTCAGGTTTTCAAAAATGGTAGTTAGGCAGAAGGTAGAAGGCTATAAAAAGGGACACAAATTAGTTTACATCCACCTATCCATAGGTCTGCATGGAGCAAACAGGCCTCAATCATTTACTGGGAAAAATTTTTTTAAAAACTTTAGCGCAAAACACCAGCTTTCCCTTTTTTTTTTTTTGCAATTTGCAATGATTGCAGTGCAGGAGACAATACAAAACAGCCTGACAAAGTTTTTCAGAAAAGGGATTTTTAAATGAGTCCAAAAACAGCTGGAAAAGTACTCCATTATTTGCCCTCACCTCATCCATATATTCTGGTTCAGAAGCAGATGCATCCCAGCGGTTGTTCAAAATAAAGATGTTTGGCCGTGATAGGCGCTCGTTCACCTTATGAAAGAACTGCTTTTCCTGAAAGACAACAATTATCAGCGAGATTAGAGGAGGACAGCCGGTATTCCAGAACGGTAATAGGTCTATACAACTAGAGAAGGGATGGGTAAGCCCACATGTGCAGGGACTGAACGGGTAAACATTCTTGGAATAGAAGTGTGACATACTCCTGATCTATATAAAATAATGCCATCAGCAATATTGAGGATAAAACTACGGGATATTACAAGGCAAGCTCCTGGGAGGTAGTAGCTGATGTTGCTGGGTCAAGATTCTCTGTAACATACAGCATGTTTGCAATATATATGTTTTTTCAGCCCATAGAATCAGAAACCATCATTAGCTACTCTAAATGACTGACGTCTGAATGTTGGCTTTGAGTTATGAAACTTTGGTGTCCTTTTTGCTATGAAACAAATCCCATTGACCCAAAATTCTAAAAGGAAGAGGAGCCACATACGGTCTGCATGAGGGTGGACTCAGAGTTTGCCACCAAGACGAAGACATCCGCATCCAGGCAAAATTTGTCTATCCAGCTGTCCAGTTCTGTGGTCACATCAATACCGGGACTGCAAAAAAAAAAAAAAAAAAAAAAAAAAATGAATAAGAAGGATAGACTTGTCAAAGATCTGTATTTCAAACACATTTGAGGAACAGATGGACTATATTATGAGGCCACCTCCCCATTTCTCTTCCAGACCCTCACCAAAAGCACCTTTCCTGTATTCCTCCACTGTGGCATTACAGAATTATATTAAATCTTATGTATTAGTCTGTTGTATACGCTGGAGAGGGCTGTTTGATGGTTTAATAAAGCTTTATTACTGCAGCTCGCAAGGAATCAGTGGCACCAGTTTATGCTTGTGTCACAGTGATGTCACCATTTCCTGATGCATTATTTTTTAGAAACACAGAAAAGTGACAGCAGCAAAAAGACCAAGTGGGTTTGTCTTAACCTTGTCCACTAGGTTTGTCCCAAGCTAGTTTAAATTCACTCAAAGCAGAGCTCCATCCAAAAGGGGAAGTTCCACATTAAGCCTTTGTCCTCCGCTCCCTATTAAGGATTGGCACCTTTGGGGAGCAGGGTGGGAGATAGCAGGTACCCAAATTTGACAGGCAACCGCTCCCACTGCAATTGCCTAAGGCGATCAGAAGCGCAAGTTGCCCTCCATTTACAAAAGCGCGGTCCGGGGAGACCGGATACAGGGACTGCAGGGTCCGGGGAGACCGGATACAGGGACTGCAGGGTCCGGGGAGACCGGATACAGGGACTGCAGGGTCCGGGGAGACCGGATACAGGGACTGCAGGGTCCGGGGAGACCGGATACAGGGACTGCAGGGTCCGGGGAGACCGGATACAGGGACTGCAGGGTCCGGGGAGACCGGATACAGGGACTGCAGGGTCCGGGGAGACCGGATACAGGGACTGCAGGGTCCGGGGAGACCGGATACAGGGACTGCAGGGTCCGGGGAGACCGGATACAGGGACTGCAGGGTCCGGGGAGACCGGATACAGGGACTGCAGGGTCCGGGGAGACCGGATACAGGGACTGCAGGGTCCGGGGAGACCGGATACAGGGACTGCAGGGTCCGGGGAGACCGGATACAGGGACTGCAGGGTCCGGGAGACCGGATACAGGGACTGCAGGGTCCAAGGTTTAGAAACACTTTAAGGGTTCAGTCGTGTCCTCCATTTCCCTTTCTTCCTCAAGATTGTAATATTACATTCCTGAAGTCTCTCCTAATATGACCTTTCACCATTTATATTGCCTGCTTATGGTCTCAATCTATCTTATTAATATTGATTTTTAAAGTGGGGTTTCCAAAAAAAGATATCAATATTGCAGAAAAAGTCCAGAGTCCTTGTATCCCAAAGAAGTCTGGATGGAGCCCAGTGAAGGAGACACTTCTGGACCATTTTTTTGTTTAAATGTACAAGCGCCCCTCTCCTGCCAGGTAGTCGGGAAGAAATATTGTCTGATCTGGAGTCTACTCTAATAGTAGCTACCAAACAGAAATGATCAGCTATGTCCATTTTGGAAGATTTGGCTCCACCATCCTCCCCAAATTTTTAAAAGACTCTCACAAATCTTGTCATCTGCCCCCCAATGAAAGAAATTGGACCGGCTCTGTTAGAAACAGCATCAGGACCTCAAAGAAGAGCAGGAAGAGCAATGCAATTCACCAGTATGGTTCATCAGCTGTCTGCCAGCCAATCAACATGCAAGTAATAGCGTTTATACAGTACGTAAGCTGTACAAGTAGCAAGATCTCTGCTCATTATAACAAACAGCCTGATTAGAATTTGCCTTTAGAGGCAACAAAAATATATTGGCACACCACGGTCATCTGAACTTCATGAAGCGCTGTCCTAATAAACTGGTGACAATTTCTCCCATAAAATCAGCAGGTAAATGCCTAAGTCCACAAAATAATACAGACGTGTGAAAGGTTTCTCACCTGTCCATCAGCACCAGGTCATCCTTCAGCAGGGGACACTTGGAATTCGGCCACATAACGCTGACCAGAGAGCCAGAATCCAGGAGATCGTCTTGATGAAGAGCATGCGCCAACTGATTCACAGTCTGTCATGGAGGAGAAAAAGGCATCTACTCATCAATCACCTAAGAAGTCAGAAGAGGCCAAACACAGACTGGTACCGTGTCCAAGCTCTTACAGTACATTCCTAAGATGTCCCCTCGGAAGTCAGGACAGACTGTTAGACTCCATGTACACTGCAGCTGATAAACTGACGTTCAGGAGCTTTTCTGCGTTTTTTTCAGCAGCCCCTGAACTCTCCCTAATGTTTTCCTATGTGTCCATGTACACATCGTTTACAGGCAGTTGAGTTTACAGTTGTTTTTTTGAACGCACCAAACTTGCGTTCAGGAGTAATTTTATCAGCGTTTCAAAATGCCAAACATGTGGATATGCGGCTAACCGCGTTTATACGCATTTAGAATTTTTTTTTAACTCTTTCATTTCCAGATGCTGTCCAGAGCCTTTTTTTTTATCATGAAAAATGCATCAAAAGTGGTTTCCCTGTACTCAAATGGACCCGATACACCATACCTTGAAGGAAAATATGCTAGACACTGCTGCAATAATTTCTGCACAGAAATGAGCTGGAACACATCCAAACACAACCACAAAAACAAAAAAAGAAAAAAAAAAAAAAAAAAAAAAAAAAAGACAGCTAATCTCAAGAAATACTGCTCTCTCTATTTCTCTCAAAATGTCTGAAATAGTTAGTTTTTACTGTTTTTCAGTGCATTCTGGGCATTTAGGAAGGTCTCCTGAGGTTATTTTTTAAAAACCGCTTCTAAATGCAAACGCGCATAAACGCAGTATGCAAACACGGCTAAACAGTCGTTTTTTTAACCTACGTGCTCCATCGTTCGGAAGGGTTTTCCAAACGTCCCGTGTACATGGAGCCTTATAATCTCTGGAACAAGAGCCAGAGAGAAACTGGCAGCCGAACTCCAATACACTCGTAGCTTTGTGCCAGCAGGCTGCATGCTACCCACTGGGATTAGTCAAAAGTAGAGAGACCTGGAAGGAGGGCCCCCAAACCTGTCCATTGCCCATTACACGTCAAACTGTTCTTGTCATGAGAGAGCGATCCAAATGTATGCTCTAGGGCAGACAGTAGGGCTTCATATTTACGAACACGATTGATAAATACAAGACAGCAGTAAGGAGAAAACAATTTTGCAATCTGATTTGGGAATCAGTGGATACTTAACAGAAAACAAATGATTACTCCAAGCACTGGGGTGTATCCTAAGCAGCATTTTAACCTCGCAAATGGTAGAAATGTAATCCCTGTGCTAAAGTGGCACCGATCCCAAAGAACAGCAGCTCAGGCAGAATAACGTACAGTACACAGTTCAGCTCCTCAGGCAGTTATATAGTAATGGCAGTGATCAGCAACTTATAGCCGTGAGTCGTGCATTTTGACACCGGGGGTACTGACTTGGTGTCACTGACATCCCTAGTGACACCAATACAGTGATCAGTGCTAAAAAAAAACCCCACTGACACTGTACTAATGGACAGGAAGGGGTTAACATGAGGGGTGATCAAAGGGTTAACTGTGTGCTATTTCACATTGTGCTGTGTGTTTGTGCTGCACTGTAAGCGCACTGCTTTGCATGGCTGTGCTGACAGGGAGGAGAACTGTTTTGTTTACAAACAGTCCTCTCTCCCCGTTGGAGATCCTCAGCAATCACCGGCCAGGACCAAGTGATGACAGCCGTGAATGGAGGTGCGGGCAGGGTGTGTGTCCCCTACCCGGAAATGCAAAATATATATATATATATATATATATATATAAAATTTTGTGCACCCGTGCCGCCCTGTAGCAGTATTTCTGCTATAGGGTGGATGGGAAGAGGTTAAAGCACAACACTTTCAATGCAGTTCTACTTATTTTATTAGGTGGTATCAAACACAACATAGGAAGCCCTTGTGCTGTTCTCCTCATATTTGTTATTTAACTGTGCATTGTATCACCAATTCTTATTTCACCACGTTTGTTTCTATGTATTGATCTGTTGCTGCCATCTGCTTGCCAGAATTTGCATGCTGCATGCCTCTGCTTTTGCTAGTAAAGTTTTTCCTCTGCTGGGTGCGGTTTTAGGCAAGCCTTGGTTCTGGTCACTTCCTGCAACCATTTTATGTGCTTTATAGCTGTGTGACAGGACATTCAATACCCTGGGCTTGTGAAGGCATCTGTTTTTGACCAGCAGTTAACCTCAGGAAAGATATCACAGGACAGCATCAATACCTCTACTACCTTACAGTATTGTATCACTGTTTGTCGCTGTGTTTGGACCAAATAAACCCATGCTGATTTCATTTCTGTGTATACGTTTGGATCCTTTTAACCTGAGCATCTGCCGGTCCAGTCTGCTCCACTGCTTGGATACGAAAGTAGGAAGTTACACAGCCATTATCAGTTATACCTTCATTCGCCTTCATGTGGGGACAGAACAGCCCTCACCCCCGGCTCATAGAAGTTCAGCTCCATCTGCTTTGTAGTTACCTTGACATTCCGCTTCTCCTCGGATCCTTCGGTCAGTAGGTAGGCCTCACTGCCCTCCGTTCCCTCCACTCGCAGGAAACAGTTAGTAGTGTGACCGATACCAGAGGGCAGGACTTTGTCCCACAGCATGGCGTTTATCACAGTGCTTTTCCCATTGCTTGTCCTGTTTGATACATCACAGACAGTTACCACAGATTTAATGTCATGCTAACAAAAAACAAACATAGTTCCTAGACTGCAATAAGAGTGGGGAATGTACAAAATTAGGTGCTGGAGACCATGGCAGCTGGATGGGGTTTTCCTATTTAATTGCATCTTTAATGTAAAATATGCATCAATAATAAATGATTATGGCCAGTGTGTTGTGGGTGCAGTGCACAGGGTGCAGTATGGTGGACTCCAAGCCCCAAGTTCATACAGAGGTAAAAGACTTTCTGTTATGGGGCTGAAAAAAGTAAACAATGGACTACAAATGCAGTGACATCACGGTTCTGCCACCAGTGTAATCTGTGTTGTCACATTGGACTTGTAGCATTCCCATTGAAAGATTCCCATGAATGATGGCATGGTCAGGCGGGTGGAATACGAAACATATCAATGAAAGACTATGCCTATAAAGCAGAACTGCACTGCATCTGAGAACCGCAAAGCAAAAATGCTATTTAATTCATTTTTAATATTCAAAGCAACTTCCAGCTCGCTCATCCCCCCCCCACCTTTCCTGACCTGCCGGGCTGCGTGCTCAGATAAGGGTCTGGTACACATTTTTTTTGGAAAAAAAACAAACTCCCAATAAGTGTACATTGATAGCTTTGCTGAAAGTTATAGCATCTGCAAACTATGGTATAGATACTTGAATATTTATTTATTTATTTTATACTAGTCATGGCGGCGATCAGTGACTTATAGTGGGACAGTGATAGTGCGGAGGGCAGACACTAACTGACACTGACATCCTTAGTGACACTAATACAGTGATCAGTGCTAAAAAAATAATAAACACTGTCACTGTACTAATAACACTGGCTGAAAAGGGGTTAACATCTATGACGATCAAGGGGTTAAATATATATGCCTAACGATGTTACGTGTGCCTACTATGTGCTTTTTTACTAAGCAATGTGCCTTTTTTTACTCAAAAGAGGCGTATTTTACCTCCCGAAAAAGGCCACTTTCATGTGACGCCGTGCCAGCACCTCACTGATGCCTTTCACATTGGTCAGGTACCCCTTAACCTCAAGGACCTGCTCTTCTGAGGCGACAGGGTCCAGTTCTGCATTCTCATAGGTTTCTGTGAACGGACAACACAAAGAAAAGAAATGAGTGTCAAGCGAAAGCAACAGGCTGTTGTATTATTGACTGTAGAAAAAAAAACCCGTCAACACCTTTACTGTTCCGTCTAGATTTAATCTACAAACAGTAGGGATGCACCGGTACCAGTTTTTTAGGATCTAGTATGAGTACGGATACTTTTTCTCACCTACGCACCAATACCAATTACCGATACCTACTTCTAGAATACCCGGCGTTCTCGTTTACATTTCAGCTATTAGTGGTAGTGATAGCAGTGCAAACCTAATACACACCGCGCACCCAGGCAGCAGATGCCCATACACACACACACCGCGCACCCAGGCAGCAGATGCCCATACACACACACACCGCACACCCAGGCAGCAGATGCCCATACACACACCGCACACCCAGGCAGCAGATGCCCATACACACACCGCACACCCAGGCAGCAGATGCCCATACACACACACCGCACACCCAGGCAGCAGATGCCCATACACACACACACCGCACACCCAGGCAGCAGATGCCCCACACACACACACCGCACACCCAGGCAGCAGATGCCCATACACACACACACCGCGCACCCAGGTAGCAGATGCCCATACACACACACACACACGCGCACACCAGGTAGCAGATGCCCATACACACACACACACCGCGCACCCAGGCAGCAGATGCCCATACACACACACACCGCGCACCCAGGCAGCAGATGCCCACACACACACACACACACCGCGCACCCAGGCAGCAGATGCCCACACACACACACACACCGCGCACCCAGGCAGCAGATGCCCCACACACACACACACCGCGCACCCAGGCAGCAGATGCCCACACACACACACACACCGCGCACCCAGGCAGCAGATGCCCATACACACACACACCCCGCACCCAGGCAGCAGATGCCCATACACACACACACCGCGCACCCAGGCAGCAGATGCCCACACACACACACCCCGCACCCAGGCAGCAGATGCCCACACACACACACCCCGCACCCAGGCTGCAGATGCCCACACACACACACCCCGCACCCAGGCTGCAGATGCCCACACACACACACCGCGCACCCAGGCTGCAGATGCCCACACACACCCGCACCCAGGCTGCAGATGCCCACACACACCCCGCACCCAGGCTGCAGATGCCCACACACACACCGCGCACCCAGGCTGCAGATGCCCACACACACACCCGCACCCAGGCTGCAGATGCCCACACACACACCCCGCACCCAGGCTGCAGATGCCCACACACACACACCCCGCACCCAGGCTGCAGATGCCCACCACACACACCCCGCACCCAGGCTGCAGATGCCCACACACACACACCGCGCACCCAGGCTGCAGATGCCCACACACACATCGCGCACCCAGGCTGCAGATGCCCACACACACATCGCGCACCCAGGCTGCAGATGCCCACACACACACACCGCGCACCCAGGCAGCAGATGCCCACACACACACCGCGCACCCAGGCAGCAGATGCCCACACACACACCGCGCACCCAGGCAGCAGATGCCCACACACACACCGCGCACACCACATCGCGCACCAGGCAGCAGATGCCCACACATACACACACAGGTAGCAGATGCCCATACACACACCGTACACCCCGATGGCAGGTGCCCATACACCCGATGGCAGGTGCCCATACACCCCGATGGCAGGTGCCCATACACCCCGATGGCAGGTGCCCATACACCCCGATGGCAGGTGCCCATACACCCCGATGGCAGGTGCCCATATACACCATACACCCAGCTAACATATGCCCATATGCACCATATACCCAGATAGCAGATGCCCATACAGGGGGACATCCCAGCCTGCCTCAATGGGATTAGTTCCGGGCTGTGGAAGCTGCCATGACAGAAATAAGCCGGCTGATTCCCACAGCCTGATGTGACCTCAAAGCCATCCTTCCCAGCATGGAGCTCTGGGGAGAAGTGGGAAGGAGCCAGTGCAGTAGAAGCCTGGGGCTCCTTTGCTCTCCAGGCACTCAGCAATAGCGCCATCACTACATCGTCGCCTATGAACCGGCCGAGCCTTCATTGTACAGAGCCTGGAGCTGACATCACTTTCCGTATTGGTTTCAGGTATCGGGAGTATTTGCACGAGTACCGATACTTGTGCAAATGCTTAGTATCGGCACCGATATTGGAGCAACCCTAATAAACAGTAAGCAGCCATAGGACACATGTATCTGGATAAATACATAGCACCATGTTTGATTCCGGTCAGCACTCCAGCTGTCCAGCAATTAGCAGCTAATTCAATCTCTTACTAAGTATGTGGTTTCTTTATCTTCTAATCCTTGCCCATCTTCCAGTTTAAGTTGGTGCCTTGACCACTGCTCCAGGTTTCTTGTTTAACCTCCTTAGCGGTATTCCTGAGTGTAGCTCGGGGTAAAATTTGAGTACCAAACGCGGTAACCCCGAGCTACACTCGGGACTACCATGCGGCGTTGTTCAGGGATTCCCTGCAGCACTTACCTTGTCCTTCGCTCCCACGATGTGTCCCCTGCAGCGTCCCCGGCCATCTCCTCCGGCCGATGCCGGCATTCGGCTTCTGTGTTCCGGTCCCTGTGACGTCGGGACGTACGGGCGCCGGAACCGGCGGCAAATTTGAAATTTTTTAAAAATGATTATTACATAGTAAAACATTGCTGTTTCAATGCATTTCACATACATTTTGTCCCGAGTGCTTTGTCCGGCGCCCTGCCTGCATTTTTACTGTTCTTTCTGCCTGGAAACTGAGAAACGTCCATGGCGTCCAAAAAGCGTCCCTTTAGGTCAAAAGCGGTTTTAGACCAACTAGAGAACAGCGATAGTAAATTAGAACCACTTGCAGAATTGAGTGATAATGATTCGTGGGGGAAATTCCTCATCAGACACTGAAAACAATTTTGCGACTTTGCTCAGCGATGTGCGAATTTGCCTCTGTATTTCAAATTTCAGTGTTTTTGGTTTGATTAGATTATTGAATTAAATTATTATTATATTATTTTTTATGATTACTTATTATATTATAATTTATGATGTCGGGTTTCAAATTTTATCCTACCCGGGATGTTTACTAGACTCTTGTTCGTACAGATTTCAGTGAGTTATTCCTAAAAATTACAGCCTACAATAAAAAAACTACATATTTCCATGCAAAAAAATGGTACTGCTTTCAGCACAAAAAAAAAAAAAAAAAAAAAAAAAAAAAAAAAAAAAAAAAAAAAAAAAAAATCGGCAATAATAATACCGCCGAGGAGGTTAAGTCTAGGTTCACACTGGTGCGGTGCGGGGAACTGCATGCGATCCAGACAGGAGTCGCACAGAATTCCTGTTCAAATCAAACACAACTCTTTGCAGTGCAATTTGAGCCTATTCATTTTGTATGGTTCAAATTGCTCGGCACCCGCACGAAAAAAGGTGTGTTTTTGGGTGTTTACAACCATGAGATCCGATTCAGCCAATCGCACTGCATTTTACAAACTGTTTTTTGGGTGTTAACATAACATTGACACCATCAGCAGTTCACATGAACGGAGTACGATTGTGATGCAGTGGGGGAAATGCACAGGAAATGCAGCAAATCCGGCACAGCATCAGTGAGAGCTGGGGCTCAGGGTGGCTCCTTTCTCTTGTAGCATCCTATGGATCCACCCTGGCATGCAGGGACTAGAGTTGTGCCTCTCAACACTGTGTGCATCAAGAGAAACACACAGCTGTAGGATGGCAAGGCACGCCCCCCTGCTCCTCCAAGACAATAGACTGGCTGTAGACCGCACTGTCCACTGTTAACCATTTCCAATGAAGACCTGAAGTTCAGGGAAACCGCATTGCGAGAGCAAAAGCCAGCAGAATTGAAAGCTGTAAACTGCAAGTAGTGGGGTAAGATTTTTTTTTTTAAATAGTCTACTGATAAGTTTGTATTTTATCATGCTCAAGGTGCGCAAGGTGCTAACCTAAAAAAAGGTGCGCAAGGTGCTAACCTAAAAAAAGGTGCGCAAGGTGCTAACCTAAAAAAAGGTGCACAAGGTGCTAACCTAAAAAATACAATGGGTTTAATACTACTTTATAGTATAATAAAAAGCAAAAAATAATATATATTTTTGTAGTTTTGGATACAGTGGAGAGGGCTTAGAACATCTGTCAGTGTTTATTGCTGTCTCTGTCCCCATTAAGGAGACCCCCCCCCCCCCCCCCTCTCCATTTGTCCCGTTTACCATTATCATTGAAAGTGACAGAAAGAAAATCCTAAATTTTGGGTTGTCCCTATAAAAGTCAGAGGGGAAATCTTCCAATGTGGACACTAGGTCTGGTGACAACCAGGTATTCCCTCACTTTGGAAGGATTTCCTCTCACTTGCTGCTGTGGCTACGGGACAAGAAATAAAAGAGAAATATCCCCAATGGTGAACAGACGGCAAAATAAAACTAATGCAGGCCATACACGGTTTGAATTCCGAACGATTTTTTCGGCTGAAAATTGAAAAATTAGTTCGCTCACTAATCCGATGGAGTAATCAATGAATTTGAAAATCGGCCGACCAAGTCATAAAGTTCACCCCACATAACAGGCGAAACTTCCGTTCCTTCCAGGTCACGGCTCACGCGCATATGCCTTTTTGGAAAAACGATCGTACGATTTGACCATCATGGAGTTGAAAATTGGTCGTTTTTCACGAATTTTCAAACATGCCCGATCACCGAAAAGGGGAGGAACCATGGAAATCGGCCGGTGTCATTGACCCACTAACAGAGCAAAAAAATCGGCTGATTATTCTTAGGTTCGATTTTCGGATTACAGATCGGTCGAATTTCGACCCACGTATGTATGGCCGGCCTAACCCTCCCTTACACTATCCAAAAATGAAAAAAAAAAAAAAAAGTGGCTTGCCGGACACAGATTTCCTATCTTACCCTCCAGGAAGTTGTAGCTCTCCTGAATGTAGGCGCCAAGCTGGTCGAAGATGCCATTGATTTTCTTCTTGGCGGTAACAAAGTGCTTGAGCGGCGAGGCGTTGACTTCAGCCATGAATCTCTTGTCTTTCTTGTTGGATATTTTCGACGTTGGTCTTGCAAACAAAAGGGACATTGCGCTGCGAAAGAGGTGAGACTCTGTAAATATCGGAGGCTCAGGCTTGGTGAATAGTGCAGAAAACATTTTGATACGTTTCATTCATCGGCAGAGTGAATGCCGTCATCCAGCACACAAACAACCAAATGAAACTTTTCTGTTTCCTGAATTTGGAGTTTTCTAGAGAAGAAAAGTTCTTTCATTTTAGAGAAAACAAAACCCATTCTTCCCCAAAATGATGATCTGCACAGCTTTAGCTGCCTCTTTCTTAATAAGGGACCACCCCAATCATAAAAGCAATGTCATGTTTGTGTAAATCACAAAAGCAACGGATCAGAATGACGAATACACACCAATCAGCCAGAACATTATGACCACCCATTGAGGCATGGACCTCCGAGGTTATACTATGGTGTCTGGCACCAAGCCATCAGTAGCAGGTGCTTTAAGTCCTATAAGTTGAGAAGTGGGGTCTCCAAGGATTGGACTTTTTTTTCCAGGACATCCCAGAGAAGCTCAATTGGTCTGAGATCTGGAGAATTTGGAGGCCAAGTCAACACCACAAACTCACTGTTGTGTTCCTTAAACCAGTCCTGCTTTCCAGGGGCGTCCCTAGGGTTGCTGTCACCCGGTGTGATAACACTTGGCGACAGCCCCTGCGACGATCCCCACAGAATGGATTGGATCTGCAGATTGAGCATAATGGATCAGACTCCGATCCATTATGCTCCCCAATCCACAGATCCGATCCATCCTGCGGGGATCTTCGGCTTTCTTTACAACTTACCTTTTCGTGGAGCAGGTCCGGTGTCACCCCGTATAGGTTGCATGCGACGATCCCCGCAGGATGGCAGTACTAGGGTCACTGGTTTGAATCCCAACCATGGCACCACCTGCCTGGAGTTTACATGTTCTCCCTGACTGCGTGGGTTTCCTCCAGGTACTCCAAAGACATGCTGGTAGGTTAATTTGCTTCTGTCTAAATTGGCCCTAGTATGTGTATGTATGAATGTAAATTAGGGACCTTACAGTGTACACCCCTTGCAGGTTAGGCAGGGGCTTCCCTAGGGTTGTACGCCGTTGATCCCCGCAGGATGGATTGGATCTGCGGATTGAGCAAAATGGATTGGACTCTGATCCATTATGCTCCCCAATCCGCGGATCCGATCCATCCTGCAGGGATCGACGGCATGCAACCTATAAGGGGCGACACCGGACCCACTCCACGAAAAGGTAAGTTGTAAAGAAAGCCGACGATCCCCTCAGGATGGATCAGATCTATCCTGCGGGGATCTTCGGCTTGCTTTACAACTTACCTTTTCGTAGAGCGGGTCCAGTGTCCCCCCGTGCGGTAGGTGTCACCCGGTGCGGCGCGCACCCCCTGCACTTGCCTCGGGACGCCACTGCTGCTTTCATCAGTCCAGGCCACCTTCTTCCATTGCTTCGTGGTCCAGTTCTGATGCTTACATGCCCATTGTGGGCACTTTTGCCCGTGGACATGGGTCAGCATGGGCCACCCTGACTGATCTGTGGCTACACAGCCCCATTCACAACCAACTGCGATGCTCTGTGTGTTCTGACACCTATCAGAACCAGCATTCACTTTTTCAGCAATCTGAGCTACAATAGCTCTTCTATTGGTTCAGACTACACAGGCCAACCTACACTCCCCCACCTGCATCCATGAGCCTCGGCTGCCCATAACTCTGTTGTTGGTTCTTCTTCCTTGGACCACTTTTGGTCGGTCCTGACCATTGCAGACCGGGAACATCCCACAAGAGCTGCAGTTTTGGAGACGCTCTCACCCAGTCCATTACAATTTGGCCCTTGCCAAAGTCGCTCAAATCCTTACACTTGCCCATTTTTTCTGCTTTCAACACATGGACTTCAGGGATAACATGTTCACTTGCTGCCCAATATATCCCACCCACTTTCAGCTGCCATTAGAACGAGATAATCAATGTTATTTACTTTACCTGTGTGACAGGAGTGACTTTTGGGGATGGGGGGACCTCTGTATCATCTCCCCAAATCATTATGTTTAACCCACCCTGTGCCTGTTAAGGGGTACAGGGTGTGTATGTGAATGTCTGAGTCTTGTGTATAGTGTGTGTTCCTTTGTTCTCGGCCACATGGCTGTCCATTGTCTGTTTGCCATGTGCTACCCCCCATTGTGCTGTGTCTTCCTGTCCAGCCAACTATTATGGGATGTACTGTTTGTGTATTGGTGTGGGGGTTGGTCAATGTCCTTTGCCATGTGTTTCATCCCATTGTTCTGTGTCTTGGTGGGATGGGGAGGGGGGGTGATGATGTATTTCCTGTTCTTGGTTGGTTTCCCCACCCTCTGTATATATCCTGTGTTTTGTGTTAAAATAAAAAGTCGGCTCCCTGTTTTAAGAAGAGCTGGGTGCTGTCTTTTTCCTGAGGGATTTCAAGGGTGTGGTCCGTGGATGGTGTTCGGACAGGGGAAGTTGTGGTATAACGGAAAAACTCAGTGCGGTCTGGGTTCCGGTTCCGTTACCACCTGTCAGTGGTCATGGTGTTCTGGATGATCGGTTTATAGGTAGGTGAACACACACACACACGTTTGGCTGGATCCTTGTTTTTTTCCTGCTAAGCACGTCATCCTCGGCGGCACACGCCATTTATCCACATGTTAAAGGCTTGGACGCCTATAATGACTGTTTATTGGAGCACTTATTGTACTTTCTAACATTCAGTTTAGAAGACACCACCTCACCCTCTTATGTAAGAGTCCATTTACTTATTTATAGAAACTCTCGTTCTTCGATACCAAACAACACGGATGTCAACAAATAGCTGCATTTATCAAAATGTCTGACGGAAGAAATCCTCAGCCACCAACTCTTTCACTTTCAAGCCCAAGCTAGGAGAAATGAAAGCCAAAGTAGGATCGGCTGATTGGGGAACCCCAGACTCCACTTTCACTTCCATAAAAGAGTTCAATAGGGATTCAAAACCAGGCGGAGCGCATTCACTAAAGTTCCACTAAACTCCGGTTTAGTACATATTCCTATCTCTTCTATTCCTCTCAGCCTCCTCCAAAAAGGACATTTGTTTTTTGTTTCTGTGATCTGACTTCCTGTTAAAGGGTGGCTACATTTGTACTCCATGGCCCCCCCTGTATGTAGGAACGTAGAACAAGAAATGGCAGTTGATACGCCAGAAATCCAGTAAGCACCTCATTTCCTATGCATGCGTGCTCTTCTGCACCCTCCCGAGCAGGGGCGGACTGACCATTTGGAAACTCGGGCACTGCCCGAGGGCCCGGGGGTCAGTAGGGGGCCCATGAGATGCCCCTGGTACCTTTTTCATAGGCTCTTTTGAGTTTGGGCAAGGACACAGGGGCCCCAAGATCCCCTATTGCCCGGGGGCCCCATGAGTTGTCAGTCAGCACCTGCTCCCGAGCAGTGTTGTCAGCCCTCTCTGAACTACAGAATCACGCACCTTAATGCCCCATTCACATGATAAGAAAATCATCCGAAAAATTTCCCGGAACCACTGATTGAATGATTCTCTCTACGTTGATGAGCAGGATGTTTTAACCGATAACAATATTGTGAACGAAAAAATCCGGTTGAACAACAATGAAAAAGTTTGTCGTTTCGCATGCGAACGACCGATTTTCTATGCGGTAGTAGGACGGTCGTACAAAAAAAAAAAAATCTATCAAGCGCTATCACACATGAGCGGAAACAGAAGATGACCCGGATGTTTATGTCCAAGGAATCTTCATAAAACACGAACGAAAAATCCAAATGTTAAAAGTAGATCGGCCAAATGAGAATTCTGCATTTTATATTTTATGTATCACTATTTATGTATATAGGTCATGTAATAAACGATATTATACTCATTGCTGGTCATCGTTGTGTATATCGATCATTCTGGCCGGAAGGGGCGTGGCTACAAGGTCACACGCACACCGCATCACTTCCACTTGTACAGAAGACGCCAACACTACGTATTGCCCGAACGGCGATTTTTTTAGATTGGTTAATGTGGGCCACGATTTTGACCAACGTCTGAACGGCTCTCGGTAGTCGGATGACTGATCGGTCGATTTTCTAATTGTGTATTCCTACCTTAAGGTATAGATAGGAGGAGAAGGGGAAGTGTTCTGTAGTTCAACAGTAGCAAAACTGGTCCCTCCCTGAATGTTTCTAGTGATGTGACCAGCACCCGCCCTCCAGACACTGGAAACAATGAATGTTCATGGAAGGAGAATGCAGTAATGGATCACACATTCCTCATTCTTATCAGATCAGACTGGCTGCATACACAGGGAGGGAGCTGTAAACCCGACTGCCTACCAGACCCACTGGAATCACAAGACAGACAACACGACAGGCAGACATGGGAACCCTCTGTATATACAACTGAACTCATCTCTACATGTGACCTTCACATGTCTTCTGGTGCGTGTTCTTATGAGAGAGAGAGAGAGAGAAAGGAGAGGGGGGGAAAGAGGAGAAGAGAGAGGGGGGGGAAAGAGGAGGAAGAAGAGAGGGGGGGGAAAGAGGAGAAGAGAGAGGGGGGGAAAGAGGAGAAGAGATGAGGGGGGGGGGAAAGAGGAGAGAAGAGAGGGGGGGGGAAAGAGGAGAAGAAAGAGGGGAGGAGGAGAAGAGAGGGGGGGGGAAAGAGGAGAAGAAGAGAGGGGGGGGGGAAAGAGGAGAAGAAGAGAGGGGGGGGGAAAGGGAGAAGAAGAGAGGGGGGGGAAAGAGGAGAGAAGAGAGAGGGGGGGGGAAAGAGGAGAAGAAGAGAGGGGGGGGGAAAGAGGAGAAGAAGAGAGGGGGGGGGAAAAGAGGAGAAGAAGAGAGGGGGGGGGGAGGAGAAGAAGAGAGGGGGGGAAAGAGGAGAAGAAGAGAGGGGGGGGAAAGAGGAGAAGAAGAGAGGGGGGGGGAAAGAGGAGAAGAAGAGAGGGGGGGGAAAGAGGAGAAGAAGAGAGGGGGGGGAAAGAGGAGAGAATGAGAGGGGGGAAAGAGAGAGAAGAAGGG